TCAGAATAATTTGAATAGCATTTCCAAAAACTATTTATCAAAGCAAGCAATGTTTTTAAAATATTTTCATGCAAAGTAATGGAAAAAAGATTATTAAATGCTAATTTTAATGTATGATAGCTCAAGTAATATTCTAAAATGGTACCCAAAATTATGATGTTAAAACATAAGGCCTACTGTTTTGAAAGGTTTAACACTCTGTTGACGATTATTGCTATAAGCCAAAGGATCGGATTGAAAATGAGCAAGATTATAGGAAGCAATATGCTGATAAAAGTTGAAGACCTGAATATCAGTTTAAACCTGGAGATCGAATTTGGTTTTCCAAGTTCCCTGTGAGTACATCCAAAGACGTCCAAATTTACACTTTTTTGAAACAATTATATATTTAATGACTCAACTTTCACTGAGCAACTCTTTACGAGATTTTATAAATAAGTGATAGAGATACTCCATTAGATGCATACAATTCCTCGAACCTAAGACATTGCATTTACCTAAAATCATTAAATCTTCATTAAAGATTATGTCACCCCCCCAAAAAAAAAACACTCATCACTAGTTCCTTGTCGCAAGGTCAAAGGGGAAGACTGTAACAACCAGCAGGAGGGAGGGAGAACTACATAACTTTCTCCCCTTATTTTGAGGTTAGATTGGCTCTCCTCCCCACAAGTTCTGAATTAGGACTCTGCTGCTATTGGCAATAAACAACGAAAACTGCACAGTGACTTTGAATGTGCAATGGTTTAAAGCTGAGTAATTCACCCTGAACTGTAATCTTATATATGTATGTTTGTAAATATTTTATGTTATGTTTTAGAGTAAATATTTTTAAGTTACTTGTTGAATCATTATTATGGAAAGAAATTCTTATTCATGTTACAATATTAAAAATCAGGTTTTGGATATATATATACATTAGATGCCACTTAATGTGGTTGTAGTTAATGTTATGATTTAGATATTGCTATCGAGTTGACGAAGTCCTGCCCATTTGTACATAAAAACTAGGGAAATATTTTGCTTGTTGTGATCAACAATTCAATTAATATGATCAAATATTACATATTTTTTCCCTCCCACACTGAAGTCACCAAACAAGATCAAAATAGATAATAAAAAGTAGCAAATGACAAAGAAATATCGCCAAGTAAGTTATTAAATTGCCAAACAGTTTGGTTTTCGATTTTAATCAACCATTTCAAAATCTAGAAGGGAAAAAAATCAACTTTAGTTTGGCTTAGATTTTGAATAATCCTATCAATTTTTAGGGCAGTCAAGACACAGCTCCCTCTTCTTCAGGAGCAAAAGAAAATTCTGTAGAATTCCTCCCTTTTCCTTGCTTTTTGGAGGAACAAAAAAATCTATGAAAACATCTATTAAGCTTTGCTTTTTTAGGAGGGTTGAGCCTAATTTTTAATTTTAAATTGGCATGTTCTCTTTCAACGAGGCATGCTCTACAGCTAATAAAAGCATCAGTCAAATTATTTCCAGAAGCACCATGAACAAATTACATTGCTATTTTCAATTTTTCTCTTTGATTGATGTTATCAAAACACCCACAGTCAAATACGATCACAATTCAATATATTACTTTTTTTTTTTCCCCCCTTGTTTGTCTTTTGTACAGTCAAAAGTCGTTAATTAGGATACCCATAATCCGGAATGATCCATAATCCGGACCTCAAAGCTACAAACTTTCTGTGCATGCGTCGCGTTGACGTAAGACCTTTACCGCTGCGAATTTGTGTGTGTGCGCGTGCAAAATACGTTTACGAATGCGCGTTTAATGTATAACGGACGGAATAAGCTAAGCTAAAATTATCTAATTCTCTATTTCAGTCGCGTTAATGTTGCAGATTGCGTTGTTCCTTAATCTTTGAATTGGATCCGGCTTATTATTTTTTGCAGACTGTTAGAGCAATTTTATAAAAGTAAGCTTGAACTTTCGATTATGTCAAAATAGAATTTCCCTGATATATATTTACTGGAGGTGCCAAAGGATCTACAAAGCGAAAGTATGTTCGGATGTCCATCAAACAAAAACTGTGGAATTGCTGCAAAAAATGGATAAAGGCATATCCTTTGATCCTCTAATCTAAATTTCATGCTGTTTATCTAAACGGGGGGTTTATCTTTAACGACGTAGCGCACAATGAATTGGAAGTTGATCTGTCAGCATTATCCTTATATTAAGGAGTACAGATGTTTTTATTTTATTTTTGGCTTATAATTGCTTACTCAATGTAGTATTACATCTGGATGTACTCTGTCTTTGATATGATTTAAATCAAATGCCTCATCATTATAATTCGCTTCCGATAGCAAAGAAAGTAACAGAGGTTATTGAAAACGAAAAAATTTCGATTGACAAATTAGTCAGTGTTCTCGACACAGCAATTATAGGACTTGAACAGCGGAACTTTGTAACTGAACAAGAAATTATGTCTCTTTAATAGAATTAAAGAGAAAGTATTATCACATGAAAAACGAAGCAACTTAAACAACTTACACTGAAAGAAATGTTTAATAAAGGAAACAAATATATATTAAGCTTCTTTTTGTAAATTTTGATACCCTTTAGGTAATAATTGTTCTTTATTTCGTAAATTACGGTTTCATATTTTTAATTTTATAATTTCTGTCTGCCATTTTACCAGATTTAAACTGATGATCTATAATCCGGAAAAATCAATAATCCAGAATCGCCGAAGTCCCGACGAGTCCGGATTAATGACTTTTGACTGTATTGCATTTTAAAATCCCTTTAATTAATGGACAGCATTTAGAGGGAAGAATTCATGATTTCATAAGTGTCCACTACATAGGGGTTTAAATTAAATCTTAATGTGAAACACAAAAAAAAAAAAAAAAAAAAAGTATTGAGATCCAATTTTGTGGTTTGCATTTGTTCTTAAACTGGCCTTCTACTAGTTACATAAAAAATCTGATGTGTACACTACGACTTCCTTATATGGAATATTAAATTATACACATTTTTTCTTGCATTTCATTTAAACTTATTAGATTGAATTAAACCTACTTCGCCGACAGCGCATAAACCACAATAGAATAAATGCATTCTTTAAAATTCACTTTGTTTACCATAGCGACACTCTGGCGCTAGGTTTACTTAACAGTATTATATTTCGTTCATATTATAACTCAGAATGCACAAAATTTATATCATTTAAAGAATTATCTAATCGTTGCCACATGTTCTATTCAAATACTATAATAAAGCTAGAACTATGCATAAAAGAAATTAAGCAAACAAAACTAAAAAAGAAACAGTTTTTCACAGACGATTGAGTATTTCTCATTCAATTAATTCAGTTTTCACTTTGTGACAAGGCAGAAATACATAAAAACTCAAAATATCTGAATTAAAAATTACAAAGTAAACGCTTATTTCCTCGGAAAAATTCCAGAAAGGATTAAGCATGATTTAAATAATAAATGAAGGCGTTATCTTTGTTGTTGCAAAGCTAAGTTTCTCTAGATTGGCAACAAATCCGCTACTCAGCTGTTTCAAATGTACACAAGAGCAATGGCCGCCATCAAATTAGGCTTAGCGGCACTTAAACAATTTTAAAATTGTTGACAATTCTAAAAATATTGCATACAGATTTACTAAAGGCATAAAACCCTTAACCAGAAGATAAAAACAACATAATACAATCTCTTTTAAAGCAAAAAAATGTATAATTTACAAACATATATGAGTAAAGAAACTGAGATCACTGAGCCGGGTAACAGAGTGGATATATTTATATACGTTTGGCGCGGCCGATTGAAACCAAAATACGAGGTGCACATCTACATGTTATAGTAGTCTTATATACAGAATTTCAACGTTCTGAGTTATGCGAGATACGTTCGTACAGACGCCACAAAAAATTCTCTTCAGAATTCATTTTAAAGCAGTTTTTTTGGAGGAAAAGAGTCTTTTATTCTGTCCTTACGTACAGATATCACATTAAAACATTGTTAAATTGCATCTGAAAGCGGTCAAAGTGGATATTTTCGTTGAAATATGCTCCCTGAAGCTTTTCGCAATTACAATACTTCCTTTTTACTTCGTTAAATTGCATTTGAAAGCGGTCAAAGTGGATATTTTCGTTGAAATATGCTCCCTGAAGCTTTTCGCAATTACAATACTTCCTTTTTACTTCGTACAAGGAAGTAAAAAGGAAGTAAACAACAATGATAAAACAAATAGAGCAACTTGAAGTCATGTAACATAAAAATTTCTTCACAACATGAGAGAGAAACCACTAACAGATTTCTACTTTAATCAAGTCTTCATGGAACATAAAAAATAATTGAGTACTGTGTGTACATAATGCAATATTGGTACAGTGTGTGTCCCAATACTGTATTATAAAAATGTACATTGCATTTTATAATTATACTGTACTGCATCACATTTTATAATTAAATAAAACACCATGATGTATCTACGGTATCTTAGTATATTTTAATATTAATTTTTTACTTATTTTTGTAACTGTTACCAATTACTTGGTTCAATATTTATAGATTTCTTATTTCACACTAAAATATCTCCTCTAAAAGTTGATCAGTTATTTCCATTTACATGTACATATACTCCTAAAAAACTTCTTCTACTTTACCACACATTGAACATCAGTAATAAATAAGAGATAAATGTACAATATGAATAAGCAAACAGTGAAGTTATGAGTGAAATCAATATTACTGATTTTTCGAATGATGCTAACATTCCTCTATGTTATATCATACAGACACAAAAATCTCTAAAAAGCATGAACTTAGTCTGACTATTAGTCATAGTTACTTAACAATGATATAACTAATTTCCTATAGTCTTCATAAAAATACAATACAGTCATTCATTGTATTAGGATGTATTTACCTACAGTGAAATCTTAATAAAAAAGCTGCATTACTGAAGAGCCTTAAAAGTTAATAAAGATACAACATTTGGTAGCATAATGTTGCCTATTGCTATCTCTAAAAATGTAATTTGAAACTTACGTAATAATGAAATCTTCACAATATTCAGAAATTTCATTTTTGGAAACATCAGTAGACACCTCCATTTGTTCATCAGCGGTATCTGCACTTCTCTCTGCATCTTCAGACAGTGGATTTAATATAGCACCTATAGGCAATTTTCTGTAATCGATATCATCTGCAATATGATGAAGAATGTTAGCTTAATTTGCCTTATAAACAGTTTAAATTTGTAAAAATTGTTTATCAAAATGCCATTTACCAGGTGCCAGAGACCATATACTTTCTTCAGGTGGATTATTTCTTTGTCGGAACTTATCTTCCAAAGCCTTCACTGCCCAAATACAAATGCTTTGTTTCAAATAATTTGTATTAACAACTAAAATATATACTTAAACTAAACTATGTCATTAAAGATATAAGACAATATATAGAATATATACAATAAAATTATATAAAGTAATACACAATACTTTATGTTGTGTGCTACATATTTATACAGATTTCTTTAAAAACTACACCATAAGAAATTTATAAATTATTGAAATAAATCAGAACTCATACAGCAAGGTACTGGTATTTTGGCAAATTTTGAGAAAATGTGCTGCCTGCATGGGAGCTTTCATGGTTCTCCCTCTGTATAACATGACTATGAATCAGTTCTCCTAAGAATGTTATCCACAAAAGCATTCACCTAAGACAGCCTTTGTAAGCATTATCATAATTCAAACAAATGTAATTCAACGAGAGCAAAAGAGAGATAAGATAAAGCAGACACATGAAGAATATTACAAATAGCCAGAATCATTCACACAGTGATGTCTAAATCAGTCATTTATAAGCAGAAGCTAACAACTATTAACTAATTACTATAACAACTGTTACTTATTTACAAAACTGCCTAGAGCTTCTAGAAGATTGGGGGAAATCGCTCGTATGACTTTGAAAATGTTTTGTTTTACTGAAAACTTCCAGATAAACAAATAAATAAAAACAATACAAAATACCAGAGTAATCAGATCTGAGGTTTTAACTGAACCATCTTAAAAATTCAAAATTACAAGCGCCACAACATAGCATATGAAATAAAAATTCCAATAAGTAGTAACACATCTGACCTAACAAAAATAAGAAATAAAATTATTTCACCCCCTCCCCAAAATTGTGCTAAATAAATAAATAAAAAGTAATAACACAACATAATTATGTAAACACAAATACTTATGTATTTTACAGCAATATATATATAATGAAAAGATTAACAGAACTTCTTATTTGATTGCAATATATTCCAAGGATTGTAAACTATCTAAAAGGCATTTAGTAGTTCTGATTTTAGGTGCATTTCTAACCTTACGAAAGTAGTTTATTATTAAAATTTCAATATCTAACCATAGCTTGGTGTTCAAAGAAAAATTTCAAATATTTTACCACAACAGTTAAAAGCCATGTCATAAAATTCCAACTGTCCCAATAACTAAATGAGTGTAGTAAAATAAAATAAGCTTTCTCCACTCTAGATGTGGCTATTTTATATGATTTATATACCACATAACAACAATAATTGCTTTCTTGATAGTAAAGAATGCTTTATTTTCCTACAGTTCACAGAAAAACTTAAAACATTTTTAAAATGTACAAAAAAAAAAAAAAAAAGTATTAAAAAATAATGCATACATTTTTTAGCTTCATCCAATGTAAAAGGGCGGGCTCTGTTATTAATAAGCTGGGAACAACCATCAACAGCTTGTCCTTGAGAAATAGCTACAAGTAATACTATCTGCTTGAGAGATTCCTTATCTAAATCTTCATGTGATGCTATGCTAAAATTAAAAAATGCAATGCATAAACATTTGAGAGAAGATATACTGTACAGTATATTACGAAGATATTTCCTTTATTGCGGAAAAAAAACTAGCAATTAGTCCAAAAACCAGACAGTTATTCAGTCCTCAGTTACTTAATACACAGTATATCAAACACTGTAATAAATTTTTAAACACTATATAAATTTTGTCCTCTCATTCTGAGACTGAATTCTTCAGAGGGGCTTTGTCTCCCTCCCCAAAGCCTACATTGGGATTGTGCCACAACTGGCACAACCCAAACTCAAAACTGGGAACTGCACACATACATTAAAAACAGCTCGTGTTGTCTCTGCGCAGCTTTAGCTGATTATTTAACTTGGTTTTAACTTTACATTTCTATCTGAGTTGCAGAAAAAAGTATTGGCTAACTAGAAGTGCTATCTTTAAATTATTCCTTCAGCTGAATAGAAGGGTCTTTTCATCCTTCTCATGCCTTGTCATTAATATAGTTTGAATTTAGTGACTAGTCGCTTCACAGTTCAAGTAAAGATCTAGCCAGCATGTTAAATTTAAATTAGCTAGAATCTTGCATATGGTGCCTGAAAAATTTACGAACTATGTCACAGGACACTAAAAAATTTAGTTTGGCTCCTCCAAGGCTTCAAGTTCCACCAGCACCAGTTAACAAAATAGAGGGTTTTGGCTCCATAGTCGAGATCATGAGGGCCATTATGAAACCTGCTACAACTTTTGACAGAAAGAGTTCTGTTATGTCATTGCTGCTGCATGCATTTGCATGTTGGATTATATTCTGTTCTGGAAATGCAAAATGTTACAAATGTCACAGGAAATTTTAAAGGCCAAATATTACGCTGATATAAAGGCAAAAGCAAGTTCCTGCTAGGTGATCCAAGAAATGACACCTACGCCAGAGAAACGTACACCTTATGCTGCTATCATAGGAAAACGTCAAACTGAGTTCAGGCAAAAAAAAAAAAAAAAAAAAAAAAAAAAAAAAAAAAAAAAAAAGCAATGTTTCATAAAGAAAATACAAGACCACATGTGTCTGCATTCACCAGTTGGATTCTGTACAGAATTGAATGGGACCTTTTGCCACACCCACCATTTAGCCCTGACATCGCTCCTTCGGACTTCTACTTTTTTTCACACCTGCAGCTACATCTTGCTGGTGCTATCTTCCATTCAGCACAGGACAAACAAAATGAGATTGATTTGTTTTTGGACTCGTGGCCACCAAGTTTCTTCAAAAAAACTACCAAAACGCTGGTAGAAAATCATAGATTTGGGTAGTGATTACTATCCACAATAAAGGTACCGCTTTCAGGTTTTATTAACCTTTTAAGGATGGGTGTCCCATATATGCATTCCATAAGAACGTGTCTTACAGCAGGATCCCATCATGATCGCTAGAGATTTGCATTCAGAGGACGGGTGATGCGTATACCCATTTTCAGCTGGAATGTTTTTCTGAAGGCCACTGGATGGCATCCTATGTCCATTACTTTTGAAATAAACAAAATTTTAGGTTCCTGGCCTTGAGTTTGATATAGTCTACTTGACTTTGGTATTTTACTCATCAGCTCTTGCGAGGGTGAGGGAAAGTGTAAACAGAGGTGAGCTCTTTAAATCGCTGCGTGCTAATGAAAACGTTCGCGTGTCTGATTTATATCCAATTCCTTTTCTTATTCTATTTTTTTTCCTTTACTATGTACGGTCTTTTAGGGTTAGTATGTGGAGTATTGTTACGTTTTGCATTGCCTTTAGATATATTTCCGTTTCTTCTCTTTTTATTTCGGAAAGAGTTACCTCTAGTCTATTATGGCGGGAAGGCGCTATTTATCAGAGGAAGAATGCCCTCGCATGGTCAATGAACCATTTATTAACGCAGATGAGAGTGATGATTTATTTTCTAAAGAGGAAGTGATACTTTTCTAAGAGTTAGTAAGTGCTACTTCTCCGCGCTTCGAGATTTACCACACTCAGTCTTCATTTAAAGTTTGTTACTTCTTACTGTAAATATTTTATTGGTTTTTATTAATTTAAACCTTTTTGAGGATTTATCAATTAAAACTTGGAATTTGAATAGCTATTCTGAAATTATTTTACAAGATAAGCAATTTTTTAAGATATTTCATGTAAAATAAGAAAAAATAATAATAATAATAATAAATAATAAATAAATAAATAAAAATAAAAATAACGTTATTAAGTGCTAGTTTAACATATATAAGGGACACAAAACGGCGAATAATACTAATCAGAGTCAAACAACAAAAATCGCGTATATTTTCAAATTTCACAGGAAGTTTCGATGGTTTTACCGAACCACCATCCTCACTGCAAACCGCAAATGAACAAGATAGGAAATAAGTTCAAGATTGATGCTTTTTTGGCAGGCAGTCAGATTATATTCAGGAATCTCCGTTACGGATGTGGTCATTCTCTGGTAATTGAGAATTTCTTTGATTCGGCAATATCTTTTTTAATATCATTTTTGATTTTTTGTTTCTCTTCCATATGGTTATGAACAAGAGCCATTACAGATTTTTCGTTGGCTGGAAGCTTCATACCCCTTAAGGCTAATGAATGTAGAATATACTCTGACTGAGTGATTTGACGAATCGATAAACCATCTACTGCAGTTCATTTTTGCAACAATCTCTTCAATTGACGTTTTGATTACGAAATTATCCAAAGTTTTTGTTTTTTTAGCTCTCGCTTCTGCCTCTGCTTTGTCAACGTCAATGTTATGACCTCTGCTTAGATGACGACACATTGTTGACATATTTTCATTTAAAATGGAAATTTTTGTTATTGCATTCATTGCAGCATGCATAATTTTGGTCTGCCTCAGCAAAATGACTCCAAACGGTTGAGCTTTTGTTTTTCGGCATGATTACTATTCTGGGGGGGGGGAGAAAATACTATTCTAGAATATGTGTGTATTTACGGCTGTAACTCCAATAATATTAACCATTTTTACCAAAATATTGCTAAAAATTCGATTAAGTTTGTGTTGAGATATTAGTAATCGCATTCTTATTGGTTAAAAGGAAATAAGTAGCTCTTTCCACAATCCATGCATTAGCTTCTGTCAGGTCCGAAGTTCTAAAATTAATCCCATTCTATTGTTTATGATTTGTGTAAAAAACACGATCTGCTTGTATTCTGCTTGGTCTCTGTGTGTATTCTCTGCATATATTCGTAATAAATGTTCATTTTGGGAAAAGGCTTTTTAATTTGACGTTGTAATTTTTTTTTTTAACTGATACTAAAAAAATTATTATACATATACTTACTACTTAAAAGTATATTGTTCTATCGGTAAGTTTAAAAATCCCTGCATTTCTATTTACTGTATGTATGAGGCGGCAACAAATCATCTCTTTACCAAAAACAAGTTTCAACACTGTTCAAGGTAAAAATAAAAGCATATTGATTGTATATATTATACTCCTTTATTGTTTACTTTACTTATCTGTAATACAAAAGTTTTAGTTTTGATTGTACTTAAAAGGAGCATTTTAGACACCAATAAAATGCTTTTAGGTTCTTAAGAAATATGTTGACAAATAAATTAAAAATAAAATGCAGAACGAAAAACATTTTGTATGAACAGAGCTTGAAAGCTCGTCAGGCTTTGATTTGAGTATTGAGTACTTGAAAATGACCAAAAATTATCGAGTATCAACCTCGAGCCTAAGCTCGTTCCAAACTCTAATACCGCCCAATCTGTATTTTACCACTCTTAAGCAAACTTTTAGAAAAACTTATTCTTACAACGCTATCATCTTTATAATCATAAATTGTTCATGAAAATCAGTTTGGCTTCATAATGAATAAAGCTATTAATCACACTCTATAAAAAAATGCACAAAGTTCTACAAAGCAAAACTAAACATCAACATTTCATACTTATTTCTCTTGATATAAAATCAACCTTTGATTCCATCTCTTTGAAAGATGTTCTCCTAACATTATGTTCCATCAACTGTCCAAAAGTTATCAAAGACTATCTAAGTAATAAGTATCTTCAATATAATTCAAATACAAATGTTGAGAGATATAAAATAACAAAGGGACGTCCACAAAAATTATGTCTGGGGGCCTGTCTTATGAAATTCAATCACCAACAAAGCACTCAAGAGCTATAACAAGGTCTCAGACACACATACCCAAGCCTCTGCAGATGACTTTTAATTGATAATAAAAGACAACAGCAAAAGAGAAATAGATAACAAAATGGTAAACTTTCTAGAAATATTGCATTGATGAGCAAATAAATTTCAGTTAATAATATCCATAGAAAAATACAAAGCCTTATATCTACCAAAACCTGGATTTTCTTTCAGAAGTATACGAAAATTATTTAAAAAATTTCACAAGAAGAAAATCAATATTGAAAATACCATCACATATTTTTGTATAACAACAGATAGCTACATCTCCTATAAACATATTAACTTTATCAAAAACAAATTCTTAATTATTTCTAATTATTTCAAAATCTCTAAAATCTATTTCAGCCAGCACCTGGGGAATATCCCCCTAAACTCAAAAAAATTTGGTTATCTCACAGTAATAGAAAAGAAAAAAAAAAAAAAAAAAAAGATCTTACCATGTAGCTTCTGCCTGGGGCACAAAGACATTTTCTGTCAACTCAAAGACTTTTCCTACTTTCAATGACAAAAATTTATATCACCTCATTTACAGACACTCTGCAAATAAATACTGGCATTCCACCAATAACTCTTACACTACAAAAAGAGGCAATGAAAACTAGTCTGAAGACTAAATCAAACAGGTCACTTCAATAACAACATCTCTCTCCCCTCAGACTACGAATAGCTAAAGCAAAACTTAGATTTACACTCCTTGCTTAATTATACAGATAATATAATTAATAAATATCTTGAAAATTATCCTCTATATGCTTTTTTCTTATATATATATATTGAAGGATCAAAACCTGATATAGGAGTGGGCAGTACATA